TTAAAGCACATTTATTGCTGCCTTTAAATGGTTTGTAATCTGTGTTCCCTCATAGGTGATAGATATGACTGGAAGAGAGCAGAAGGTGTACTATAGTTACAGTCAAATGTCCAACAAACACAGTGTTCCTGATGAAGCTCCTCCAAGCCTGTCCTCTCGAGACCTGAAAGGACCTGGCTTTGCTCTCCCTGAGCTTGAGCATAACCTGCAGCTTCTGATAGACCTTACAGAGCARGACATTTTACAGGTAAGAGAAATCAAAAGGTGTTTGGCAACAACTGTATCTGTTTATGATAAAGAGTTAATTTCAAGATGAGTCTGTTTCTGTAAACCTTTTACGTTTTCCTTTCGTTTCTCCTCGCATGTTTCGTAGTCCGCCAGACGGTTGCAGCATGAGAAAGATGTCGTGGTTTCTCTGAGCCACGAGTCACTAGCTCTGCAGGACAGACTAGAGGCCGAGCAGAAGGCCATCCAAAGAATGGAGGCCGTGTTGGCGTTAGTGGAGCGTTTTCCCTCTGAGGAGACACCACCAGGGGAAGGACCGACCCTACAGGTTTGTGTTACAGTCAAACACACACTGACCATCCACAGTCAGCTTGCTGTTTTAGTTTCATAACTCCAGCACTTTTTTTTGTAAATCATTAGGCTAATTTTAGTGCTTTYCTTTTTCAGGAGTGTGCTCAAATCTTCGAGACATTACAAACTGAATATTATGAGGAATATAAAACAATKGGATTGGCAGACCTGGCTGTGTCTGTTGTTCATCCACTGCTTAAAGTGAAACTCTTCTCTTGGGACCCTTTGAAGGTATTTTTTTTGTCTAATTGGACAAAATCATTTTTTTACGTTATAATATTCGAGCTAAGTGTTTGATCATTTCAGGACAGTACTTATTGTCTGGAAGATATCGGCATGTGGAGAGCCATTCTTGAATCCAGAGACATGCACTCCAGTGGTCCACATTCAGACATGGATCCTTACCACAGGTCATTTTGAATGCTTACTATGATTTTGTATTTAAGTGACTAAACGTCTGTTTTAAATCAACTTACTTGCATTTTCATGATGTTTATTTTTGTCCTAATTGATTCAGACTGTTATGGGAGGTGTGGATCCCAGTCATGCGGTCTTCTGTGTCAGGTTGGCARCCTCGAATGGTCGGACCGCTGGTGGACTGCGTGGAGACGTGGGCTCCTCTGTTGCCCGCGTGGATCCTGGACCACTTGTTGGAGCAGGTTATCTTACCCCGACTACAGCGAGAGGCAAGACACATGCTCTCACCTGGAGGCAGTCTCCCACTCTGAGAGTCATTATGACATTAAAGCCTCTGTCTTTGCTTTTCAAAGGTTGATAACTGGAACCCCCTCACTGACACCGTGCCTATTCATTCGTGGATCCACCCATGGCTGCCTCTGCTCCAGTCTCGTCTCGAGCCTCTTTACCCGCCAATCAGGAGCAAACTGTCGAACGCTTTGCAGCGGTGGCATCCCAGCGACGCATCGGCCCGCCTCATTCTTCAGCCGTGGAAAAGTGTTTTCACTCTGGGCGCATGGGAGGCTTTCATGGTGAAAAACATCATCCCCAAGCTAGGTAGCAATCAAAAAAAAATTATCTTCACCTTTTTTTTTCTTCACTTTCTTTTCTAAATATCCTTTGATCTGCCTTCATGTCATGACTTCTGTATCCCGTTATAGCTTTATGCCTGGAAGAACTGGTTATCAACCCCCACCAGCAGCAGATGGAGCCATTTCACTGGGTGATGGACTGGGAAGGAATGCTGTCCCCCTCCAGCCTCGTTTCCCTTCTGGACAAAAACTTTTTCACAAAATGGTTGCAGGTCAGTGAAAGTTCATACCAAGTATCACTGGTTATTAACTCTCTTGCTGTCTGGGGTCAAAATGACCCACGAGGCTTTTTAATTAAAAACAAAACAAAACTGGTTTTTGGATATCATTTAGTCCATTACATTTTTTTCAAATCGTGTGTCTGTCTTATGTCGATGACAGGTTCTGTGTTCRTGGCTGAGCAACAGTCCAAACTATGAAGAAATCACTAAATGGTACCTCGGCTGGAAAAGCATGTTTAGTGATGTTTTGTTGGCACAGCCTCTAATTAAAGAGAAATTCAACGAAGCTTTGGACATCATGAACCGTGCAGTGTCTTCTGGCATGGGTTAGTATTATTTTCCTCACGGAGTATTACATAAGCAGGGAAAATTAAGATTTTAATATACATGATTAAGTATTTGAGCATGTTTTCTCTACATAACCAAACCATTTTAACACTTGCTGTTTGTTGTTTTTGTTTTAATTCACAGGAGGTTATATGCAGCCTGGTGCAAGAGAGAATATCGCATATCTCACCCAGACAGAAAGACGAAAAGACTTTCAGTATGAAGCTCTGCAGGAGCGCAGGGATGCTGAGAGCGTGGCTCACAGGGGCGTCAGCGCTGGTGTGCCAACTAACTTTAAAGATCTCATTCAGACCAAAGCAGAGGAGAACAACATTGTCTTCATGCCCTTAGTGGGAAAACGGCATGAGGGGAAACAGCTGTACACATTTGGACGTATTGTCATCTTCATAGACAGGGGCGTTGTGTTTGTGCAAGGAGAGAAGACCTGGGTTCCCACGTCTTTGCAGAGTCTGATAGATATGGCAAAGTGAGCTCAGACATACTGATCGTTTTGTCTGCCAAGTCTGAAAAGAGTTAAATGTAGATTAATTGTTTCATGTAGGATCAGTTTTTATATGGTTTGTTCTACGCTCTTTATTTGTAAATTTTAAGAACTGTCGTGTGAATAAATCATTTTCAAATTTGTTGATTTTGTCTCCAAATTTATGATAAAAAGGTTCCAGATAGATAGATAGATAGATAGATGATAGATAGATAGGTAGATAGATATTGCCAGTTTTGGTAACACGTGTCAATGTAATTTTACATGTCTTAGCTATTTTTTTAAACAAAAGTTCTATTTGTTTTTTCATCTCCATTATTGAATGATAACGTTAAAAATGGAGGCAGGCCATCATTTTCTAACTAATGAGTTGGCAGCTTTGATTTGATTAATATGAAATGACCCAGGTGGATTGATATTTTGCAATTATTTTAGTAAGAATTAAAATACATTTATCAATATATAAACAACACCATTAAACTTTTGACTTGTAAAGTTATTTTATTTTAAAGTAATTTAACGAATACAATTTAGTAACTTACCTGTTGCACATTACATTTTAAAACAGATTGTACAGTTCCCTTCTTGTCATTATTATATTGTTCCATTCTGATGTTATTATCCTTAGTTTAGTCTCTTCTTTTTATCTAATCAACATTGTTTGTGTCTTTTCGGTGATGATTCGTTTCTTTTGTTAATATGGTTATCTCTTGGCATTCAAAATGGACGACAAAGTAAGAATTTCA